GCAGACCCCCTCTCCACTGCGGAGCGTCGGGGTCCAGCCTGGGTCCCGGCTCCACCCCTGTCCCTCCAGACCACGCCCCAGCGGCTACTTGGACCCCCCCATACACACACACACACACACACACACACACACACACACACACACACACACACACCAGCTCTCTCCATCACATCTTCAGAGTGCAGGTCTTACCTCCTTTGAAACCCCAAACCATGTTGGTGAGCCACCTGGGAGAGAGACTGTTCTATTCTGTTTCGTGACCTCACATGGGGTGGGGGGAGGGCACACCCCGTCAGGAAACCTAGACCATATACCTCTAATTCCAGAGGGACCAGATCATCATATCCCAGCATCCCAGGGGATCCAGACCCCATCCCACGCCCATGCCCAACACTCAAATGGCCCCCAAGCCACACCCTGGAATTCATGGAGGACTCAGACTGTATATCAAAGTTCAGAAAGAACCCTCCATAGCTTGATCCATTGGGGAACCCTGGGAAACCAAACCATGTTTCATAGCCATCCAGGGCAAAAAACTGGATCCAGCCCCAACAATGTCCTTCCTCCATCAAGGACCTTCATTTCCCTCCCCACCAGGAGGAATTGTAGATCATGGCTAATGTCTAAGGGACCCCAAACATCTCTTCTGCCCATAGAAGACCCTTACATGCTTTTCATGTCCCCATCCATACCTGAGGTCATCGTCCAGCGCCCTTGGGGACCTTGGAACTCTCTCTCTGTTCCTTTCAGGGCACCCCTTGGTCAACTTCCCCCATTGGTCGTAGGTTCTTTGCCAACCCCACCCCAGCAATCAACCCTGCTGCCTTCAGTCCCTGCGCCTCTGTGACTCCCATGGATCCCAGAATACCTTACTTCTTCCTTGTCTGTACCCTTAGGGTCCAGCTTCCACCTCAGAGCTCACCTCTCCATCCCTTTCTCAGAGCCCACTGGGTACCTCAGGCCATGTTGCGTCACCAAAGCCTTCCTTCAACATCTTATTGCAGTCCATGTGTCTCAAATCTTTCCATTAGGCACCCCCTAAATCCTTTCCCAAGCCCCATAAATCCTTGCTAGGCACACCCCAAAAACCAAGTCACCACTGCGGATCTCCTCTTTGGTGAAAGATAGACCAACTCAAAACCAAGAGGAGCCCCAGGGAATGCTCCTAATCTCCCTTCTCCAGAATCCACCTGTCCACACCCTCCATGCCCACCCCATCTTCCAGCTAGAGCAAGGGGTTGAGGGACATCACTCAGTCTGAGAAGCCCTTGCTGTGCAGCTCAGGGGCGGTGGCTAGTTCCTGTAACCCAAGCTCTGTGGAGGCTTAGACAGGCAGATCCCTGGGACTTTTTGGCCACCCAGCATAGTCTAACCTGTCAGCCCTCGGTTTCAGTGAGCAAATCTGTCTCATAAACAAGGAAACCTGTGCTAGAGAGACGGCTCAGCGATTAAGAGCACTGGCTTCTTTTCCAAAGGACCCAGGTTCAGTTCCCAGCACCTACATAGCCGCTCACAACTCTAACTCCAGTTCCAGGAGATCCAGCGCCCTCTTCTGACCTCCACAGGCACCAGATATGCAAGTGGTGCACAGACATTACACCCATGCACACAAGGTGTGTGTGTGTGTGTGTGTGTGTGTGTGTGTGTGTGTACGTGGTGTTTGGTCTCTCGAGACAGGGTTTCTCTGTAGCTTTGGGGGGTTGTCCTGGAACTCACTCAGTAGACCAGCTTGGCCTCGAACTCACAGAGGAGATCCTCCTGTCTGCCTCCCGAGTGCTGGGATTAAAGGCATGCGCCACCACTGCCCAGCTCATAAGATATATTTTTGTCTGTGCTGGGATTAAAAAAATTGTGCACCGCTGGGTGGTGGTGGTGCACGCCTTTAATCCCAGCACTCGGGAGGCAGAGGCAGGCGGATCTCTGTGAGTTCGAGGCCGGGCTGGACTGACAGCCTCAAAAACAATACAGAGAAACCCTGTCTCATAAAAAACCAAAAAAAAAAAAATTGTGCACCACCACTGCCAGGCATATGATTTTTTAAAATTAAAAAAAGGTTACTCACTCCTGAGAACGAACACCTGCAGTTGACCTCTGACCTACACACACACATGCATGTACCACACATAAAGGAGCAAGAGAAAAACGGCAGCAAGTGTGAAAATGGGTGTAGCAGTGCTTCAGGTAGCAATGGTTCTGGGTCCTTCGGGTAAGGAAGAGCTCCCATGACTATCCCCATTTTACAGATGAGAATCATTGAGGCAGAGAGAGGCAGAGAGAGGTTTAGTCCCTTGTCCAGGGTCACAGAGGTAAGCAGTGGCAGCACAGCATAAAAACGGAGGGGAAAGAGAGGTGAAGTCAGGCCTGGGCTGGAGGTGAGGGGAAGAGAAGGAGACACATTACGGACAAGAGCCTACAAAGCTGTACAACCCTGAAAGTACACAGCGTGGTTGTCTAACAGGAGCCCTAACCCCTGCAGCAGATCTTCCGATACACACTGATGACCACGCCCACAATTCTTCACCTAGACTCTGCCTGCAAATCCGGTCCTACTAGCTGCCTCTTAGGCCCCGCCCCAAAGCACAAATCCCAGCTCTATATGATGGGCTGGTCCTGAATTTATTGTGTAAGCCAAGATAGCCTTGAACTCAGAGAGATCCGCCCGCCTCTGCCTCTCAGTGCTTGGACTAGAGGCATGTGCCTCTAGAGTGGACTCCAAAGTAAATAATATTCATCCTAGGCTCCGCCCATAAATACAAGCCCCACCTCTTCTGCCTAAGCCACACCCTCCATCTATGCCTTCCTACCCAAAGAATCCTAACTTTCAGCCTAAACATGGCGTCTTCATTCTGTGCTAAAATCCCTCCTGAGCTTTGTCAAATATAAGCCCTGCCCATGTCTAAGACTAGAAAGAGGTTGTCCTGGGAAAACCTAGAGTGCAGATTCAAGAGAGCTTGGGCTGACAAGATAGATAAGCACCCATTGGCACCTCTAGCCAAGACTGAAGATCCGAGTTCGATCCCTGGGACCCACAGGTGGAAAGAAAGAACCACCTCCTGAAAGTTATCCACTAGCTGCCCCGCATGTGAGCAGACACACACACACACACACACACACACACACACACACACCACATACAGCTTAATAAAATGCATCAAGAAACTGCCCCCATTATACTGACTCATCATTGGATAATCTGATCTGGACCCTCTAATTGGTCCTTGCTTTCCAAATTTGCTCTTGGTTGGGCGAGTCCCATACATGGTCCTTTCTGATTGGATTATTTACCGCTACAACCTAAAAGCAAGTTCACTGCTGAAGGCTAGGGAAGGGAGGAGGGAGACGGGAAGGAAGGCGATGACTGTTGACACTCTTGCCTACAACAGCACACTGTGACCTTTGCACATGGGGTAGATGTGGCTCCGGCTTCTGTGCCTTAGTTTGTCTATCTTTAAATTGAGGCTAATGCACACCTTTAATCCCAGCACTCGGGAGGCAGAGGCAGGCGGATCTCTGTGAGTTCGAGGCCAGCCTGGTCTACAGAGCGAGCCTCCAAAACAATACAGACAAATTCTGTCTCGAAAGAAAAATCGAAAAAAAAAAAATGAGGCTAACCATGGCCACCTCTTCTTGGTTCCTTGCAGGAATTAAACCAATGCCTGGATGGTGCCTACCAATCTTATGCATTTGAGGCTGTGCCTGTGTGACCTTGGGCAAGTCTCACTGCCTCTCTCATCTCAGCGAGCCAGGGTTTCCTTGACCTCTTTATTAGACACCCGCTTTGATCCCAGCACTCGGGAGGCAGAGGCAGGTGGATCTCTGTGAGTTCAAGGCCAGCCTGGTCTACAGAGCGAGTTCCAGGACAGTCAGGGCTACATAGAGAAACCCTGTCTCGTAAATAAATAAACAAACAAACAAATAATGTGGGTGGAGTGGGGCTCTAGCGGGGAAGAGACAAAAGCCCCCAGAACATGGAGGGCTAAAGGCATTTCTCCCCGTCCCGGTTAGAGCTATTCTGTCCAGGACTTCTCTGTAAAGGGCTGGGCTTGCCTGGAGACAAGGGGACAGCGACGTAAGGGGCAGGACGGGGTGAAGAGTTTGAGGGCTGGGATGCAGAGGCAGGGTATGAATTTCCTTTTAGGCCCGCCCCTAGGCGCACCAGGGTTGGGGGAGGGACAGCCCAGACCCAAGGTCACTGTGTCATTGTTACCATGGCAACGGCCACCTCTCGACAGGGAACCTGGAAAGAGGTGGAGGGAGGGAGTTCCAGGGGCCCCGGGTGTGACGATTGAGCAAACATGGGAGTCCGTGGGAGAAAGAAGCCAGGGAGTGTGGTCCACCTCTCCCGTGACCGCCACTCAGAGCCCTGCATCCCCTGGGCGCTCAATAAATGTCCTCCAAAGACAGACAGAGTCTGAGAGAACTCAGCGCCTGGGGGGCTGGGAGAAAAGGCGAGTGGGGAGTCTCCCCTTCCCTGACTCTTCAAGCCTCTGGGGTTCACCGAGAGTCCTGACCCCTCCTCCTCCTCCCAGGGCCCTGGACCTGCAGGCTTGTCCAGCATGCACCTCCTGGTGCCAGAAGCAGATACGTTTTGATCTTGAGATTTTTTTTTCTTTCTTGTCTTTAAATTCTTCCTACCTGAGGGCCTGGCCGAGAAAGGCAGCATTTAGTGCCCGAAGATGCCTTCTGAGCCCCAGAGCAGAAGGGAAGGGAAGGGGTGCCGCACTCTCTGCCCCGCTTAGGAGTGACCCCTTCACAGATTCGAACATCCCCCAAAAGGCCTTAAGGGGACCCAGGCCACCCGCTTCCCATTCATCCCAGGCAACCCCAAGGCCCCCCTCAGTCTCTGAGAAACAGGTGTCTTTTCCTCCCGGGTCAGCTTGGTTCCACTAGAAACGTCCGCCCCCTGCAGGCCACCGGCTGGAACTGCAGGGATTGTCGGCCAGCACCGACTAAGCGGTGCAGATAACGCGTCAGAACTGAGTTAAGGATTGCTCAATTCCTGACTTTTCCATCTTTATTTAGCTCTTGGATGGTCATTAGCCTAGGAGCCTGAGTCTTCAGATGTAAGGATTTCAAATCTCTGGCTCAAAGGTCAACGAAAGAAGGCTAACTTTTCTTGAAGCCAGGCCTCAGTGAGGTCGTCTGTGGTGCGGATTTCAAACACCTGGGTAGAGACAGAGGTCTCAGCCTTACGATCCAGTGAGGCTTCGCGACCCCTCGGCTCAGGAGTCCAGATCCCAGCCCTCCTCCTCCAAACCGGAAGTCCAGGATCAGTCCTGCTCCTTCAGACCCAGGAGTCCAGGCCTCCAAGTGCTGCGATTCTCAGAGGCTGGAGTCCAGGCCCAGCCCTCCTCTCTCAGACTCAGGGGTCTGGAACCGAGCGCCTGCCCCCCGGCCCCAGGTTTTCAGGCCCTGGCTCGCCCTCAGACCCCAGGGTTGCCCGGCCCCTCTGAACCTTCGTAAGCTCCGCCGTCTGCACCAGCCTGTTCTTACTCCCCGCGTACATCATCTGTTGCTCAGGCTTGCAGCCTGTGTGGAAAAAGGAGAACGGTGTGGTTGGGTGCAGACACCGGTAGTCATGTAGGTGCAGCTTAAGGAGGCTTGCAGGACTCTGAAGGCTGTACTCAGGGTTTCTAGATTTGTTTAGGAGCTTCAGGTTATAGTGAGGGTGTCTGGGGGGAGATTCGGGACCCTGTGGGGATTTCCTCTTGATAGAAACCTAAGTGCCAACCTCCATTTCAGAGCTCCCACATACAATGCACCCCCCCACAGTCACATGAATACACACACAGTCACATGAACACACACACACAGTCACATGAATACACTTTTTTTTCTTAGACAGGGTCTCACTGTGTAGGCCAGACTGGCCTTGATTTCACAAAGATCTGTTTGCCCCTGCCTCCTGAGTGCTGGGCCTAAGGGCTTGAGTCGCCATGCCTGTCCTGTTTGTTGTTTAGATAAGGTCTCATTCTATAGCCTAGGCTGGCCTGGAAGTCACAGCCCTTCAAGCCTCAGCAGCCTCCCAAGTGCTGAGACCCCAGGCAGAACACAACCATGCCTGGCCATAAGGCACTTCTTCGGGGGAAGGGGTTGTTTTAACTTTGTTTGAAACAGGATCACTATGTAGCCCTGGCTGTCCTGGAATTTGCTATGCAGATCAGGCTGGTCTCAAATTCACAGGGGTCTGCCTCCCGTGTGCTGGTATTAAAGGCGTGCACCAACATACCCAGCTGCTGTTATACCCTTGTATCCGTTTTTTTCTTTTGTTTTGGTGGTGCTGGGGATGGAACTCAGGGCTTGTAGCAAGCCAGGCCACCAACTCCCAAGTCACACTGACGGGTGCAGGTACCCACTGGCAGACACAGACACAGACACACACTGCTTCTCAGAAGGCAAGGCCCTCTCCTCAGGCCACTCAGAGCTGCGTCTCACCCACTGGGCTGGAGAAGATGAAGCACAAAGGATAAGACACCCTGCCGTCGGCATGCACGTACTTGTAGCTGTAGACCACGAACCTGAGGTAGAGAGCGGAACTCACAGTTAGGGCCCGAGAAGCAGCCCGGTTGCTGTTCTTTGAGTTCACGGCCTTGAATCCGGAACTGGTCGCGGCCGCGCCCCCCTGTCATCCCAGCACTTGGGATGGATACAGGAGGGACCCAAGCTCAGCTACCCAGCGAGGCTGAGGCCAGCCTGGACTACATCAGCGCCTGTCTCCAATACTTTTAAAACAATGTAGTCTAAGCTGGAGCTTCCTCAGCCATGGGGATGGTCACTTGGAGGTGGCCCGCCCGGAACATGCTTATGATGGGTTCTCACTTCCTATCCCAGCAGGGGCACCTGAGTGCACACCGGTCATGAGCTGGCTGGTGCCTGACACAGGAAGTAAAACTGGATGTGAACCAAGGGGCTCAGCGCCGTGCTCCAGTGGGTCAGATTTCACACAAAAGACAAACTCCAAGATAAAACTCAAAAGGCCGCCAGCACTGAGCCTCCCAGGGGCAAGGCTCCATTCGGGGCCCCTGGGCATTTGCAGTTATCAAAGGTCCCTGAGCCTGGGAATGAGGTCCAAAAAAAGAATTGAGTCAAGATGAAAGATGAGGACAGTTTGAGTCAGGCACAGTGGCGCAGGTCTGTGACACCAGCACTCGGAAGGCTGAAACAGTGTGGGAGTGGCGCAGGTCTGTGAGACCAGCCCTCGGAAGGCTGAAACAGTGTGGGAATCAGAGACGGCAGGGAGGTTGAGGCAAGATCGGGAAGTCAGACTGTGCTTGGCTATATATTGAGTTCAAGGCCAACCGGGGATGCATGAGACCATGTTTCAAAGGAACAGCAACAGGGGCTGGAGAGACGGCTCTGTGGTTGAGTATGGTTTCTTTTTGTTCTTGCACAGAACATGAGTTCTCATGACCCATGACAGACGCCTCACATACATACATGCACATACATACATAATAAATTCAAATTTTTTTCTTTTGGTTTTTTGAGATGGCGTTTCTCTGTGTAACAGTCCTGGCTATCCTGGAACTCGCTCTGTAGGCCAGGATGGCTTCAAACTCACTGAGATCTGCCTGCCTCTGCCTTCTGAGTGCTGGGATTAAGGTGTGCACCACCACTATCCAGCAAAATAAATGCTGGAGATATGTCTTAGCACTTAACATTTTTTTGCTCTTACAGAGGACTGGATTCAGTTCCCAGCACCCACATGGTGGCTCACAACGCTAGTTTCGGGAGATCTATGTCTTCTGATGTCTACGGGCACCAGGCACGCATGTGGTACACAGACATAACTGCAGGCAAAACAATCATGTACATGCAACAAAATAGATAAACATGCCAGTGTAAAATTCCACATCAATACAAATCTCTGGACTATGCTTCTTGGCTTCAAGAGATCCTGAGCCCATAGACAGAAGTGGAACCCCATGTCCCCCAGTTTGTAAGCCTTTTATTACCCCCTACCCACAGTCCTCCACACCACCCCTCCCCCACGATACCTGGGCTGTCTCTCTGGCAACTCCAACCTGAGTTCCTCTGGGGAAATGTTCTGAGAGAGAGAGGGAGGGAGGGAACAAATGACTATCATTCAGTTCATTAAACGAGCGCTTGAAATCTGCAGAATCATTGTTCTAAGAAGCGAAGCATGTGTGTGGATTCATTGAGTTTTCTCAGAACCCTATGGGGAGGTCTTATTATGCCCACTTGACAGCTACAGAAACTGAGCCCAGCCATGTCAAGGGACTTGCCCCACATTGCACAAGACAGTAAATGCCAGAGTTCTGATTTGAGTCAGTGTTCCCATGGTAACCACTCTACTTCCTTTCATGGGGCCTAAGGAAGCCCAACTAGTCCTGGGCAATACCCTTCCCTGCCAAGCATCCTGGACCTTAGCAAGAAGGAAGGCTGATGCGGACAGTGAGACCCCAAAATGGGAGGCTTATCCTGTTATACAGGGTTGCTGGTGGCTTTGGGCTACCTTATCTAGAATGAAAGCCCTAGTTGCTGGCTAGTTTTATGTCAACTTGACACGAGCTACCATCATCTGAGGGGAGAAAACCACAATTGAGACATTGCCTCAGTTAGATTGGCTGTAGACTAGTGTAGCACACTTCCTTTAGATACAGAAAGACTCGGCCCACTGTGGGTGGGGCCACTCCTGGGCTGGTGGTCCTGGGTTCTATAAGAGCCGTCTGAGCAGGCCACGAGGAACAAAACTAAGCAGCTCGCCTCCATGACCTCTGCGTCAGCTCCTGCCTCCAGTTCCAGCCAGGTCTGAGTTCCGGCCCCGACTTCCCTTAGTGGACCCTGATTCAAGACGTGTAAGCCACACAATTGGCTTCTCCCCAACCTGTCTCTGGTCACGGTGTTCCATCACAACACCAGTAACCCTAACTCAAACACCTGGCTTTTTTTTTTTTTTCAAAGCAAGAATAAGGCTTGAACTCACTGTGTAGATCAGGCTGGCTTCAAAACCACAGAGAGACAGAAGCGATCCGCCCGTCTCTGCCTCTCGAGTTCTGGGATTAAAGGCCAGTGCCACGGTGCCCAACCTTCACGTGGCTTTTTGATGCAGGGTCTCTTACCGCCCAGGCTAACACTGTAGCCAAGGATGACCTTGACTCCTGGTCCTCCTAGCTCCACCACCAGAGTGCCAGCATTACACGCCTGTAATGTCACTGTACCTTGTTTGTGAGGTACCCAGGGAAAAGCAGTCTACCAACACTGTCCCCAGACCTCCCCCCTCCATCCTGGGGCCCCCACCCCAGTCCCTCACCTGGAACTCCTCCTCCAGCACCACCATCTGACGGCCCTTGTCCACTTTCACTGGAGAGGGAGAGCACACGGGGTACAGGTCCCTCCCGCGCCAGCCCTCCCTCCCTCCCCGCTCCCCCCCCCCCCCCCCAGGGCAGAGGCCACTGACTTATGATGGCTGCGTTGTCGGTCTCTTTACGGAAACGGAATTTCCTCAGCTTTTCCTTTAGTTCCGGGTCCACTTCACACACCACCAGGGAATCCGACTGCCAACGGGACAGGGAGGGGCTGAGCGGGCTTGGCCTCTAGCCTGGCTCCTCTCCTGACTCAGTTTCCCCACCAGCCAGTGAAGAAGCTGAAGCTAGCCCATGTGAGAGGACTTGGGCAAACAGGGAGGGGCTGAGCTGGTTTGGCCTCTAGCCTGGCTCCTCTCCTGCCTCAGTTTCCCCACCAACCGGTGAAGAAGCCGAGGCTGGCCCGTGTGGGAAGACTCAGTGGGTACCAGTCACTAGGACTCAACAGCTCAGCTTCTGGGGTATACACAGGGCAGGGTCCACCTTCCTGGTGGGTCTTCGTGGTTTATTCCAGAAGACCCAAGGATCTGTTTGTGTGGAGCCAAAATAAAACCAGCACCTCTTGCCCTAGCTAGACCCTTGGCCACAGCTGGGTCCCTTCCTTCCTGCCTGTGACCCTCACACTGCAGCCGACCTTCACCCAGGCCCCCTCCCTGCCCCTGCCCACCCCAGACCACAGCCCCTTGCCCTCTCTCGACACCCAGGCCCTCTGACCATGGCTTTGCTGTCTTCGGGGCTCCTCTCAGTTCCGCTGTCTTCTAGGGGTGGGGACCCGGGCTGAGAGGGGCAGGCTGTGGCAGGGGGAAGCTTTCTTCTAACACCACATCCTGTTTATGCCTGGTCTGGGACAACTGTCACAAAGGGCTCCTCCCCTTCCTTCCTTCCCTGCATCTGCCAGAACCTGGGAGGCTGTGATCTCTAAGATGGAGGTTCGAATACCGCCTCACTGGGCTGCCCTAGCTAAGTAAAGTCACAGTCTCTCATCTGGAGTCACTGGGAAGATATCATAGTTTCAGTTATCCCAGGTTGGTAGAGGTGCCTAATGGTTAGTAAGCCCATCCTTGTGGAATACACCTTTAATTCCTGCACTCAGCAGGCAGGAAGCAGGCAGATCTTTGTGAGATCAAGGCCAGCCTGGTCAACATAGTGAGATCCAGGACAACCAGGGTTACTGTTGGAACACAGTCCAGGAATGGAGCTGTGTGAGGAGAATTCTGAGGGCTTGTGAGAAAGTTCTAAGAAAATAAGACATGAGTCTTGCGACCAGGTTCCTCAAAACACAGTTTTGTTTTTTGTTTTTTGAAACAGGGTTTCTCTGTGTAGTCCTGGCTGTCCTGGAACTCATTCTGTAGACCAGGCTGGCCTTGAACACAGAGATCCTCCTGCCTCTGCCTCTGAAGTGTTGGGATTAAAGGCGGTCAACACCATGACCGGCTAAATCTGCCTTTTTTTTTTTTTTTTTTTTTTTTGAGACAGGGTTTCTCTGTATTGTTTGGAAGCTGTCCTGGAACTCGCTTGGTAGACCAGGCTTGGTCTCGAACTCACAGAGATCCACGTGCCTCTGCCTCCCAAGTGCTGGGATTAAAGGCGTGCGCCCCCACCGACCGGCTAAATCTGCCTCTTCTATGAACTTCGCTCTCTCAAGGTGTCATAGCCTCTAGAGCAGTGACAGGCTACACAGAGAGACCCTGTCTCAGAAATAAATAATGGTGGCATATAATATTCCAACACTAAGGATTGCTACAACTTTGAAGCCAGCCTGGTTGACAATAGTGAACTCCAGGATAGCCAGAGTTACACAGAGATACTGCACACCAAAAGACCAAGAGGGCTCAGGGGGTAAGGGCGCCTGCTACTAAGCCTGAGGAACTGCACTCAGTCCCTGGGATTCACATGGGGAAGGAGAGAACCGGTTCCCAAAATTATCCTCTGAGCTCCCCAAGTGGGATATGGCGTTTTCATGTGTATAGAAACTTAAACAAAGAAAATATAATCTAATAAAATTTAAAAAACAAGGAAAGAGTAGATACTAGCAGGGAATAGTGATGCATGCTTGTAATTCCAGCACTTGGGAGGCAGAAGCAGGAGGATGGAGAATTGCAGCGCATACTGAGCTACATAGTTCAGCTGTTTGTCAAAAACAAAACAGTCAGTCCTCTAATTACAGCATTTGGACGATAAATACAGGAGATCAAGAGTTAAGGCCAGCCGGGCAGTGCTCGACTTTAATCCCGGTACTCAGGAGGCAGAGGCAGGAGGATCTCTGTGAGTTCGAGACCAGCTTGGTCTGCAAGAGCTAGTTCCAGGACAGCCTCTGAAGCCACAGAGAAACCCTGTCTCAAAAAACAAAAGAACAAACAAACAAAAAGTTAAGGCCATCCTGGGTTACATATCTAGTTTAAGGTCAATATGGACTACAGTGAACCCAGCCTGGACTTACATGAGATCCTGTCTCAAAAAGAGGGAGGGAGGGAGAGAATAAGAGAGGGAGAGAGAGAGAAAGAGAGAGAGAGAGACAGAGAGAGAGAGAGAGAGAAAGAGAGAGAGAGAGAATAAAAAATTTAAAAACAGGGGGCTCCAGAGATGGCTCACTGGCTAAGACCAGTTAAAAACACTGGCAGCTGGGCGTTGGTGGCACACACCTTTAATCCCAGCACTCGGGAGGCAGAGGCAGGCGGATCTCTGTGAGTTCAAGGCCAGCCTGGTCTACAGAGCATATTCTAGGACAGACAGGGCTCCACAGATAAATTCTGTCTCAACAAAACAAAACAAACCAAACCAAACCAACAAAAGAGCACTGACTGCTCATGGAGAGGACCAGGGTTTGATTCCCAGGACTACACAGTAGTTCGTGATCATTCCGTAACTCCAGCTCAGGGGACTCAACACCGTTTTTGGACCTCTGTGGGCACCAGGTATACATGTGGTACACATATAAACTTGCAGGCAAGACACTCATACACACAAAATAAATCTTAAGAAAAAAAACTCCAGAAAATCTGATAAAACAAATAAAGGAGTATGAGGGATTGAGCATAGCTCAGTGAAAACACGTTAGCACACACATGGCCTGGCTTTTTGTTCTCATGCTCACACACACACATATACCACACACCATACACATACACCACACACACTATATACATATACACACCCACACACCATACACATACCATACACACACACACCATACACACCATACACAGTGTATTCATATTGTTCCCTTTCCCTTCTTGAAATAAATTTTAAAAAATCAATTAATAAACCCAAATGTCCTATAAAGAAGCAGTAAAAACAAAGTAACTTATGAGAAAACCATATGCATCTTAGTGGAGAAATACAGGCACGCAGAAAAAGAAATATTCCTCAGCCCTTGCCCCACTTGGATCTCTTTGCTAGCTCTCCTTCCTAAGAACGACAGACCCCTTCACTGGTCCCCACCCCATCACAAGCTCTCCTTCCTAAGAACGACAGACCCCTTCACTGGTCCCCACCCCATCACGAGCTCTCCTTCCTAAGAACGACAGACCCCTTCACTGGTCCCCACCCCATCACGAGCTCTCCTTCCTAAGAACGACAGACCCCTTCACTGGTCCCCACCCCGCCTGCCAGACCACCTGTACAGCTATTCTCCAACCCTTCCTACAATCTATCCCTGTCCCCTGATGGCTCTTCCCCAAACCTTCATGAAATGTTAGTTCTTCCGTTTTAAAAACGAATATCCTTGTCTCCAGCCATGTGTGGTGGAATGTGTAATCCCAGCACTCGGGAGGCTGAAGCCGGAAGTATCGGCCAGCTAGGGGTATATAACAAGATACTCTCCAAAGACCAAAAATAAAGGTGGAGAGATGGATCAACAGCTAGGAGCGTTGGCTGCTCTCCCACGGAACCCACGTTCCTTTCCCAGAGCACACATGATGTCTAAGAATTGTCTATAACTCCAGCTCCAGGGGACCCAATGCCCTCTTCTGGCCTCCATGGGCACCAGGCATGTATGTGGCACTCAGAAGCATCCAGGCAAAACACCCATGCATATACAATAAAAACGCATCTATGGTAAAAGTAACGTGGCTGGTGCTGTAGCTCAGTTGATAGAATGAATGCTGTCTAGTATACGTGCCCTGGGCTCAGTCCCCAGCACCATATAAACTGTATGAAGAAGCACGTTTAGCACTCAAGAGGAGCAGGCAGGAGAATCTACAGTGCAAGGTCATTCTTAGCTACCTGGAGAGTTAAGAGGCCAATCTGGGCTACGACCTGTCTCAAAAATAAACAGCTGAGTTTGGTGGTGCGTGCCTTTAATCCAGGTACCTGGGAGCCAAAAGCAGATGGATCTCTATGAATTTGAGGCTGGCCTGGTTTATATAGCCGAGTTCCAGGACAGCCAGGGCTACACAGTGAGACCCTGTCTCAAAACAAACAGGGCCATGGAGTTTGCTCAGCAGATTAAGGTGTTTGGTGCCAACCCTGACCACCTAAGTTTGAACCCACATGGTAAGACAAAGCTGATTCCTATTGTTCTCTGACCGCCACTTGTATGCCATGGCAACCCAACCCCATCTGCTGCTTATTTCCTTCCAAACTTCCCCAAAACAATTGTCTATACTGGTTGTTTTCCAATTTTTTTTCCTTAAACTCCATGCCACAATGCTTGTTTATTATCGAGATAGGGTTTCTCTATAGATCAGGCTGGCCTCATACTCAAGAGATCTGCCTGTCTGTCTCTCAAGTGCTGGGATTTAAGGTATGTGTTACCACAACCCAGCTGCCAGCTTTTATTTTTTTATTTTTATTTTTTTACGAGACAGGGTTTCTCTGTATTGCTTTGTAGGCTATCGGTCCAGCCTGGCCTCGAACTCACAGAGACCCACCTGCCTCTGCCTCCCGAGTGCTGGGATTAAAGGCGTGTGCCACCACCGCCTGGCAGCTGCCAGCTTTTAAAAAGTGACTTAATATATGGGTTTCTCTATGTAGCCCTGACTGTCCTGGAACTCCCTGTAGACCAGGCTGGCCTCAAACTTAGAGATCCACCTGCCTCTGCCTCCCGAGTGCCGGGACTAAAAGCATGCACCACCACACCTCGCTCTTAAAGTATTTTAAGAAGTTTTATGTGTGTGAGTGTTTTGTTTGCGTAAGTCTGTGCACCCCTTGCGTGTCTGGGACCTGCAAAAGTCAGAAGATGACAACAGGTCCCCTGGAACTGAAATTACAATTGCTAGTCTCCATGCGGGTGCTGGGAATTGAGGCTCTGGTAAAGCAGTCAGTGCTCTTAAACTCCCAAGCCATCTCTCTAGCCCCAGAAAAATCACTTAAAACAAAGCAAAGTTCCAGGTCTTAAGGGGAGGGGGCTTAGCCCACACTTTCAAGGAGAATAGCAACTAGTCTGGTGTAAGAAAGGTCTGGGTCAGTCAGGACTAGAATAGATCCTAATTCAAAAAATCCAAACCACAAATAGATGGGGCTTGTGATGGCTTGAAATGGCCTTTCCTTGCCCTCTTCAGGTTTCTGTCTCTGCCTCTCTTTGAGACAGGGTCTCATTACATAGACCAGGCTGGCTTCGAATTTACAGAGAAGCCCCTGCCTCTCTGCCTTTGCTGGGATTAAAGACTTCCGCCCAGTTCCCTCCAGTCTTTCGCCACTTCACAGTCTCCGTTTAGTGTTCATTTCTTTTCTCAAACCAGGTGTCCTCATTTCCCAGAGTTCCGTCTGATCCTTGTCTCCATTCACCCCTCATACCCTCCCTGGGATCGGTCACCCCACTCCCACAGCTTCAATTACCATCTCTAACGATTCTTAAATCCTGGTCTCCAGCCTCAGTTTGCAAACCCCGAGGTGGGGCAATGTTCTTGGCTTCGCTGTTGGGCGTCCCACACTAGGTTCCTTCTCTGAGACCTAATCTCCCAGAGGGCTTTGTCCTGGACTTTTCTCTTCCGCCCTGTGGCCAGCCAGTGGCAAAAGGCTAGTTCAGAGGGCCACCTAGGCGTCCCTCCCATCTCCTCCCCTCCCCAGGATCCCTCCCAGACGCAACCCCGCCCCAACTCCCCAGGTAGCTCCCTGGAGTCCTCCGCGTCCCGTTCTTTCCTATCTATCTCTCCTTCTTGAGTCAGTCAGAGGCGTCGCTTCCAGACTCCCAACTCCCCAAGACCTCCCAGGTCTTGAATCCCTTCCTCGTCCCCCGAGTCACTTCAGCACAAGTGCGAACTCCCTCCAGCGGCCAAACATCTGCTGGCAGCTCATTTCCTACTAGTCCTTGTCGTAAACTAGACTCTCCACCCTGACTGTATCTCCCGTGAGTTCTCGGAACGAGCCTCGGTGCTGTCATCCTTTCCAATCAGTTCTCCCCGACGCAGGACAGTTTGTGGATGAACCGAGATTGCGATGGAAGCGACGGGAGCGATCAGCATTTATTGACGGCCTCTTTTGTGCGCGGGGGTGGGGGGGGGCCGGGTCTTATCTCTTCCCACCCTTCAAGGGTCGACTTCGCTCATCTGTGTCGCTTTAGGCGCGGCCGATGGGCGCCAGGCGCCGGAATACAGCACTGTCACCCCCAAATGGCCAAGGTACTACAGGGTACAGACCTTGGGCCGGGCGTGACCGAGGGGCGAGGAGGAGGGGGCCCTTGAACGCCAGAATGAGGAATTGTGACTCGGTTCGCGGCCACTGAGTTACACAGGCGCGAGACTGCCCCCTGCGGGCCCGGAGGTCCAATCGCGGGCTCCGCCGGCCTGTTGCCCGGGGCAACGCGGCGCGCGCCCCTCCCCTTCCCGACCCTCTGCCCTCCGCCCGGGGCCTGGCTGTCTGCCCGTCCCAGTTCGACCAATCGTAGTGAGGAGGGGGCGGGCCCCTGGGGCCTCGTTCCAGCCCCGTCTCTCCCTTCCCGGCCAGGACCCCGCCTTTCTCGCCGCACCCCTCCCACCCTCCGGGCTGCCCTCGCCGACGGTTGGCTGGCTTGGCCGTCCGTCAATCGGGTGTGAGCTAATGCGGGCGCGCAGTGGCCCCCCGGGGCGGGGCCAGGGGCGGTGACGCACGGCGCGGTGACGCAGCGCGACGGCGGCGGCGGCGGCGGCGGCGGCGGTGGTGGTCGGTGCGGGAGGAGGGAGGGGAGCTCTCGGGCCGGAGAGGGGGCGACGGCGGCGGCGGCGGCGGCGGCAGCAGCGGCGCGGGTGGCGGCGGCTGCCTGAGGAGGCGCGGGTGGCGGCGGCGGCGGCCGAGGCGGTGAGTCTCGGGCAGGGCCGGGCCGGCGGGCGCGGGGCGGCGGCGGCGGTCGAGGCGCGCGGCGCTCCCCTCAGGGCGACCCAGGCCGCGCGGCCGGCCCCGCCCCCTCAGGGACCCCGCGCCGCTGGCTGCGGCGGGCGGCGGGCTGGGGCCTCGGGAGGCTGGGGGACCCCGGAGGACCCCGCGCTCAGCCCCGCTCTCCCCGCCCGGGCCCCTTCCTCACGCCCCGGGGATAGGCGCGGGGCCGGGCGCGGGGCCCGCTGTCTCGACCCGGCGCGCGTCTGCCTGGTCCTCCCTCACGGCTCCAGCGGCCTCCCCGGAGACCACCCTCAGCTTTCAACCGCCTCCTCCGGGGACCTTCCCCGCGGGTCCCCGCCCTTTCGTCCCTGCTTCTCCCCCCCACCTTCCTCCTGGATCGCAACACATTCCTTGGTGGCTACTCCCTGCCTGTCTCCACAGCATATTTGTCCCCGGCGTGTCTCTCGGGAGCCTCCCTGAAGCCCCCAAACCGGCCCCAGACACCCCCTTGGCATTTAGGACTCCCCCTCTGCATCACACATTTCATCCATCTCCCTCAGACTTCCTCTTCACGTATCCCAAGAATTTACCCTCCCACCCTTCCCCATTCTAGACGTTTTAGCGATTTCCACTCTTACGCCCCAAATCCTTCAGGGTGCCCCTGGTGAACCCGCCTTCCTCGAAAAGCTTGCATATCCCAGAACAGTCTTCTTCAGATGCTACTGAAATGCTCATAGATCCCAGAACTCACCTGAAGGACCCCCTCCTCACATTGCTTCTGTCCATATGAGCCCCACCCCCCCTTCTCCTACCACTTGGACCCTTGTGTAGGTTTCCAAAATCTGGCCCAGGGACTTCGTGTTCCACAAATCTTCCCCACCTTGGAATGCTCTAACTAGATCACCTCTCTGTACCCCCTAACCGTTTTCTCCTGAGCCCCCATGCCTACTCATCTTGAAAGCCTCCAGAGAGCTCCTCTCATATTCCGAAAACCTCTTCCAAATCCCCTCTTATGTGTCCCAAATCCTTTCCCAGTAACACACACCACATGTTTTAAAAATTGTGTAAGGGCTCCAAAAAGTTCCCTTACAGCCTCTGTATTCTCTAGAATTCTTCTTGGATAACTGGAAAATCGGAGACTGCCCCCTTGTAGCCTTAGATAACTCTCTGAAGCTCCTCCTTACAACACTGAAACACCCTTCTGAGATACAGCTTTCAGGGTCCCCTAGCATCAGAAACCCTAGGGAAGTCAGGGTCTCTGAGAAGTTTTTAAAGGGCCATTTCAGGCTCCCTGGGGTTTCTCAGACTGTCCTACTGAAAGACTTTTCTAGCTATTTCTTCCTCAGAGCCCCCGCCCTCCATAACCATCTTTAGAAAGCCTTCCACACCTACCTAATCTTTGAGTAACTGAACACTCAGGATACTTTGAGAAAAGCCTGCTCTGATGCTACCAGGTCTTTGCTAGGAGCCCCCTCACCCCCTGTATGCTCTTTTTGACTTCACTTGAGGTTTCTCATCAAGCCCTACCCAGTGTGCAGTGTTGTGTGTTTAAAGATCCCCCTGTCAGGGCCTCTCTCAGGAGACACTCCTTCCCTCAAGACACTCCTTAGAGCATTTTCTCCCAGGCCCTGTTCAGTAATCTCTAGCACTTTCTGGGAACGCTCCCTCAAATTTCCCCTCTGACATTCCCAGTCTTATTTCAGGACTCTGTCAGGTTTATCCCAGCTAGGATAAACCTGTCCTCACTCTCTCTTTTCCTCCCATTCTCATCCCTCTGGGTTCTCATCTGCTTCCACCACTGTTTCTTCAGACACCATAGCATCCTTCAGACTCCCCTTTCCCAAACTTCCTCTATTTCTTGAATTCCCAATGCTTTGAGTTTTCTCACATTGACAGACTGACCAACCTACCTGCCTTCTCTTCTTCCTTCCTTTTTAGACATGGCCCTCATAGGTCTCTTCTTTCAGACTTGGAAAGATCTTTAACACACACTTAGAGTTCTTTTTTTGTTTTGTTTTGATACCAGGTTTTTCTGTGTAGCTCTGGCTGTCCTGGGACTCGCTCTGTAGACCAGGTTGGCTTCAATCTCACAGAGATCCACCTGCCTCTGCCTCCCGAGTGCTGGGATTAAAGGTGTGTGCCACCCACGCCTGGCCACTTAGAAACTTTTTGAGAAGTCTCATCCTCATTTTTGAAGCCCCTTTACTGAAGAATTCCCTTCCCTTCTGTCAGTTGCTCTCAAAGTATGATTAGACCTGTGACAGCATTGGTTGCAAAATGCCAATTCTTGGGTCTTACTCAGATACTGAATCAGAAAACTTCAGAGCAGAGCACAGCAATCTGAGTTTTTAATAATCCTGTTGATTCTGATGTATGCTCAAATTTCAGAAGCACTGCTTCTAGAGGCTTTCTTTCTATAAAAAGTCCTCCTGAAAGAGCCCTAAAGATGCGCCTCTAAACCCTGCTGTGCATCACCATTTTCCGGGAACTCTGCTGTGTGAAGTACCATCCTCCAGAAAGACTTCGTACCCACTTCGAAGGATCTTGGCTCCTCCACAGTGTTATCCCACCCTCTGAATAATTACTTAAGATTCTGCCTTTGAAAGGTTCCCTTTCAGCTCTTTCTCAGACCTTCTCCTTCTCCCTGCCCCTCTGACCCACCCTAGAGCCTCTGCTGTTTTTGCTTTAAATTGCTACTTCCTTGAACACACGTGTCCCCCTCATCTCATCTCTTTCTCCACGTGGCAACTTCAGGTCTTCTGTCTGTGTCTGAACTGCCAGGGTCTCTCCATGCGCTTCACAGGGCACCAGGCACTTTCCTGCTGTAGTTTTGTATGCACTGCCCACTCCCTCAGCGGACAGGAAGCTAGACGGACAGGCTGTATCTGAATGTGCCAGGTGAACATTACTGGAGAATGGGTAGCTCCAAGTTTCTCCGAGCCCATTCTCCACTTGTGTCTGTACCCCTTCCCTGCTCTCTTCCCTTTCCTTACTCTGGTCAGTCCCGTTGCCTCTCCTCCTGCCCACTATTTCTGTTCAAGGAACTTCTCTTGGCACTGATTCTGAGCTCTCCTATGTTCTGTTCTGGTGACCTACCTCACCCCATCTTGATTAGCTGCTCAGTCTCTCTTAGTTTCGGGTCTCTATAGTACTCTCAACTTTTCCCAAGAGAATCCATTCCTCTGTAGGACCAAGAAGAGGAAATAGAGAGTCTAAGATAAACACTGTCTTTAGGGAGCTCACTATTTAGTAGAGGACTTGGGCAGGTGCACCATAAAGAACATGGGTACAAAATGTGTTCTGTGGAGAGACTATTCGGAAAGACTTCATGGAAAGGATAAGGTAGTGTTCCATGGGAATTAGGATCACAGTTAGGAGCTCCTTGGCAGGGGACATAGTTTAAACACTGTATGCTTTTGTTTTTACGGTGCTGGGAATTGAACTCAGGACCTGGGGCACGAAAGATAAGTGTTTAATGACTGAGCTACATCTGAAGCCTCAAGAAAGCATCATCTCTCACCCATAGTTTCTTCTGTATGTGCTCAGAGTTAAAGGAAGCAGCACTCTTTGATTTGCATAGTATTTTATGGTTGCACTAGAGTGACCCGTGGATGTAACAAGGATTGCTGTTTACTAAATACTTACTGTTTGCTAGGCACTGTGTTACGTGCTTTTTCTGTGTAGTTTCATATCTTGGGATCCT